CTATGCTTATAGTGCTCTGTGGATTACACAAAGGCCTTCGATAAAGTCAAATGGCAGCAGCTATCGTCCATACTAGCGAAAATGGAACATCGCACCACCTAATTCAACTAATTAGAAGTCTATATGAAAATAATAAGTGCACAGTAAAAATAAACAACACCCATTCCGATAATTTCAGAACAGAGGCAGGTGTCAGACAGGGATACGTAATCTCGCCAACTCTGTTTAATATCTACAGCAAACACATTATGCTAAAGGTACTACATGGATGGAAGGGCGGAATATTAGTCAAAAAATCAATAATTTGAGATATGCTGATGACACTTTAATAATCGCGGCAAATCAAGAAGAAATGGAAGAACATAATGAGATGTCTGGTGGAAAAAAGCAAAATATATGGACTACAGCTAAATAGTAGTAAGACAAAGATCATGATAGTAGACAGAGCTCGAAATAATCTTCAACACATTAAAGAACTTGGGAGCTTTGAAGTAGTAAATAGTTTCATATACCTGGGGTCCCTAATAACAAATGATGGAGGGTGTGACAGAGAGATACGTACAAGGTTGACTATTGCTAGAACAGCTATGATGAAACTGCAATGTAGCAGTTTGTAAAAATTCTATCATAACAATACACATAGAACTAGAATAAATTTGGTGAAAATTAGAGAAATCTAATATCCCTACATAAATATGTGAGGTAATCTGATGTTTGTTCTAATTTGAACAAATCATCTCCAGCATCATTTATAATTATAATTTATTAATCCCTCTCTCTCTCTTTCTCTCTCTCTCCCTTTGTCTCTACCCCCTCTCCCTCACCACTCATCTCTCTCTCCCCCTTTCCCTCTCTCTTCTCTTTTAATAACAAATAAATTTTAATTTGGATTTAATTGATTGTGTAAATATTTTTAATTTTTACGGCAATGTTTTACATATTGCGTGTATCTTCAATGAAAATGAATATTTTCATTTTAGATTTCTCTTTTAGTACCTATTTAGTATTTACTATTTCGCCAATAGCTTGAACTTTCATTTTAATCCAGCCATTATAATAACGCTATAAACAAATCATTTCACTTTTACATCTCAATTAACTGTAGCATTGTGGCATTATCATCGCCTTTTTAACTTTCCCGCTATGCTCCGTAAAATTCCTACCAAAAAAATAAAAATCCCACCTAGAAATAAAAAGCTCCATTCTCTAAAGCACGTCAGCTTTCCGTAGCTGGGCATTTTACAAAACTTTTAGATGCAAAACGAAAACTTGATGGGATCTTTCCAATTTCACGTCCGCATCCGCTGGTGTGCGAATAATACGAAAACTGTGCAACGTGCCACATCCACTGCGAAAGCAGATTTCCAAAGACAGAAAAGAGAAGAAACCCTGTCGCCGACAGACAACTTGTCCATTTAAATTTCCAAACTGAAACGTAAAATCCTGTTCTTTTAGCGACTTAAAACTTCCCCGAAGAAAACTTATTGAAGTTAATCTTTATATTTTTCAAACGGTTTTATTGTTTGCAGGCCTAGTTGATCCAATAAAATTCTTTCCGTGGTATTATTTTGTTAAGAATGAATAATTTATTTTATTAAAATTTTTACAATTATCCACAAGGAAAATGAAATTCCTGTATACCATAAATCATGCAATTTTTTATTTACAATAATCCTTATATATATATATATATATATATATATATATATATATATATATATATATATATATATACATTATATATTCATGAAGAACTTGATATTTTGAGATAATTACCAAATTACCTTAATTATATTAAGTTAAAACGGAGGATATTTTGTTGTCAAAATGTATCGCTACTAATAATCTGGTCAACTTAGACATCAAAATAGTTGGAAAATAACAAAAATTGCCGGAAAGCCAAATTTTGGTGGAGAGCTAGAGTTTACCATAACAAATAAAGTTTTAAAAGTCCCCATGGATCCCATGTGTGCAACAAAAGTTATTCGGGGTCAAAGGTCAAAATTTGAGATTTTTTTGGTTTGTCTTGAAAACGGTAAGTTTTATAAAAAAAAAAACCTCAAACCAAAGTAGTAGATCTTAACACTCTCTACAAAAAAGTTCTGACAATTGTTTTCCTAAATGCCATTCCTGAGATATCGCGACTTTACAAGTTAGTTTATATATTTTATGCACATAATAAGCCACAGATATACATATGTGGCACTTAAGACCAGTATAAATGCCTATTTCTGTCTCTTTTATATAATTATACTATTCTGAAAATATTTCCCAAAACAATCCCTAACTGAATTTCCTCTGTCCACGTGGGATTGAAAAACATATCCATCCACTCTTCCCACGTGGAATGGATGGATATGTGGGGAAACATGGTCTAGGAAATAGAAATGAACTTGGTGAATGTTTGATACAATTTTGCCAGACGGAAGAATTTGTAATAGCTAATACACTTTTCAAGCTACCAAAAAGTAGATTGTATACATGGAAATCTCCCGGTGATACAACGAATAGAATAATCCGAAATCAAATTGCTTTGTCCTCATTAGACAAAGATTTCGTAATTCTATCCTGTCTGCCAAAACTTACCCTGGAGCAAACATCGGTTCAGACCATAACCCCATAGTAGTCACATTAAGCACCAAATAAGAACTGGTTAAAAAACCCACACAAAGTAGAATTGATATTAAGAGATTAAGGGAACCACAAACAAAGGAACAAACTATAAAAACTCTTACTGAAAATCTACGTAATGCCCAAGAACCGAATAAAAGTAGCTATAACATTGATCAGAAATGGGGAAATATAAAGTAGCAATAATTAAAACAGCAAATGAAAACGAAACGTAAAACCAAAGAATAGAAAACAAAGACTGGAAGACTGAAGAAATACTACTATTAATAAATGAAAGAAAACCATTCATACAATTCAATATAATGAAACTGATCGATTAATTAAAAAGAGAATAAAAGAACCCAAGGAGAGAATGTTACACAAGCAGTGCCAAGAACTAGAAGAAATTGAGAAAAAATAGGACTTTTTTAACATGCATAAAAGAATTAGAGAATTACAGAAACGAGAAAAACACTTCAAACTAGGAAACTAAGAGATGAAGGTGGTGCACTTATAACATATATAAACCAAAAAATGCAGAGATTGACACAATATATAGCACAACTTTTTGAAGACAAAGAGAGAACAGAAGCACCAAAAGAATTTAAGGATGATACTGGGCCTGACATTATACGAGAAGAAATTAAATATGCAATGAAACAAGCTAAAGGTGGTAAATCTCCCGGGCCTGATGAAGTTCCTATCGAATTACTTAAAACTGTGAATACTGAATCTATTGATCTTCTTTTGGATCTATTCAATACCATGTATAGAACAGGTATAATACCTAAAGAATGGCTCCAATCAACATTTATACTGCTTCCCAAAAAAGCCAATGCAAAGGAGTGCAATGAACATCGCACCATAGCCTTAATGAGTCATGCCTTGAAATTGTTTTTAAAAGTAATTCACAATAGAATACATAAGAAATTAGATGAAGGCATAAGTAATACACAAATGGAATTTAGGAAAGGACTGGGAACACGAGATGCACAGTTTGCAGTAAGTGTTCTTTCGCAGAGATGCTTAGATATTAATCAGGAAGTATATGCTTGTTTCATTGATTTTGAGAAGGCATTTGACAGAGTGCAGCTTAATCGGTTTAAAGAAATTTTAATTTTAAATAAAAACATAGACAGGAGAGACATTAAAATCATCTGTAACCTCTATTGGAACCAAACAGCAAAAGTGAAAGTTGAAAACGAACTGACCGAGGATATCCAGATTCGCCGTGGGGTCCGCCAAGGTTGTATTTTATCACCCTTGTTATTCAATTTATACAGTGACGCCATCTCAGAATTAGCACTTGCCGAGATCAGTGAGGGCTTTATAATAAACGGTGAGCCACTTAATAACATAAGATATGCTGTCGACACTGTCCTTCCGGCAGGAACACTAGAATAACTGCAACATCTTGCTGAACAACTAAATATATATTGCAACAATTATGGACTAAAAATAAATTTGAAGAATACTTAATACTGAAGAAGTTCAAAACCATGGTATTTACAAAAGCACAAAACATCAAAGTTTAGCTAGTACTAGATAATACAAAAATTGAACAAATATCTTCGTATAAATACCTTGGAGCAAGGATCACAGAAGATACTGATCAGACAAAAGAAATATTGCGCATTGAAATTGCACGGTCAACTTTTAATAGAATGAGGAAACTTTTTTGTAATCGCGATATCAATATATCGCTCCGGATAAGAATGCTTCGATGTTATATTTTCTCTACCCTTTTGTATGGTGTTGAAGCTTGGACTCTTAAAAAATCCAACATTAAAAACCTAAAAGGATTTAAAATGTGATGTTACCGACGTATTTTGAAAATAGCATGAATGGATCGCAAAACAAACGAATAAGTTCTCGAACAAGTAGGAAAACAATGCGAAGTTTTAAATTCCATAAAAATCAGAAAATTGGAATACTTGGGGCACATAATGAGAAGTGAAAAATACGAACTACTAAGGAATATAATGCAGGTAAAATCAAAGGTAGAAGAAGCGTAGAAAGACGTAAAATCTCGTGGCTACGCAATCTCTGTGAATGGTTTGGATGCAGTTCAATTGAACTATTCAGGCGCGTAACCAACAAAATTATAATTGCCAGAATGATTTCCAATCTCCGATAGGAGTGGAACTTAAAGAAGAAGAACTTTTGTTGCACACATTGCATCGATGAGGACTTTTAAAAATTTATTTGTTATAGTATACCCTGGCTCTACACCAAAATTTGGCTCTCCGGCAATTTTTGTTATTTCAAATGTCCATATAGATCGGGTTATAATCAAAACATAGTTTTTGTAAATATTTTAGTGTCGATGTGTTAGTTTTACTTTACTATAATAGTTAAGAATTGTACTAAAATATTTTTTTTGCTTACAGACCAAAGATGACGAAACGGCATTACATTGCGCTGCCCAATACGGTCACACTCAGGTTGTCAGCGTTCTACTTGAACACGCTTGCGATCCAGGAATCAGGAACTGTCGAGGAGAGACTGCACTTGAACTTGCGGCGCAGTATGGAAGGTTAGTAGACTCTTAATCTGTTTACATTTTATTATTTTTGCGAACATATAAACAATTCAGTAGTTAATTTAGAAACAAAGTCAATGATTATCAATTGTCATACAGTAATTTGCCAACTGCTCATTTTCCAACTGTGAGAATTTCCATCATTCCTGTGATGTTAATAGAAGTGTACAGGATTGATTAAATAGAGGCTACTGCGTAAGAGAAAGGCCTGATCATTAACGGTAGAAAATTAATAAATTTGAAATTCGCAGTCGACATGTTTTGTTCTTGGACAACCTCAAGGAGATATGATCAATGATATATGAACTTAAGTTAGTGTGTGCCAGTGTGGGTCTTAAAAGAAACATAGAAACAGACATATACCGTGGACACGAAGTAAAGATCACAAGAGACAACCAAACATGCGAACTACGAAGAAGAATAAACCTAGCATTGGCAGCCTTGAGAAGCCTATGGAAAGAGATTGCTTCACATACACAGGCAAAACATAACACTAGATAGAAATGGAACAATATAGAAAAGATATACGTGTAAAGATAATAAAGGTTTCATAAAATTTGTGTGAATGGAATTTCATTCGTACATTAATTATTTGACTGGATGATGAAACCAATGCAAGATCTTTATTATTTGTCATTGATCTCGTGTACTTCTAGTTGTTTGGTAATCTTTCTAATTTTTGTTTTATATCTTCTGGTAGAGCATTTAAAAATGTTTTTCAAGTTTCTTAAAACGTAGTTGTGAAGTTTTTATTAGGTAAACATTAAAGAAGAAGAATATACTGGAAGGAAAATATACTTGTTTGTAATTTAATATAACATTATTTACCTATTATTTGGGATTTTTTTTTCAGATTGGAAACGGTGGAACTGTTAGTAAGGACTGATCCATCTCTTATACAGTGTTTGAAGAGGACTACACCTGACACTGTATTTCCTCATACTCCACTTCACCTAGCTAGTAAAAATGGCCACAAGTAAGTTTGAATTTATTTTCCCGTATAATTTTTTTGGAATTTCTATAAGGTAACCTTATATTGTATATATGCTTAAGGTTTAAGATGTAGGTTACCTAAAAACTCGTTGTCGAAGCATTAATAAACATTAAGATTCTTAGAGAACATAGTAAAAAACCTGATAATGCACGTAACAAAAATATTGTTTATAAAATGTTCATAAATAAGTCCACATTCATCAATGGTCACATAAAAATGATGGTGATACATGACCGGGAAAGCATGCACCGTTTACTTTAAAAAACATCAGATTTAGTCTATTGAAAAGAAATACATAGTACAGGCTCTTATCGACGAACCAACACAAGTATTTTGCAAAGATCAGAGTATCTGCCTGCTGAAAATCACCCAGTTCTTCTTCGGTAAGAAATCCTGATTTTCATATAATAAATCTTTACCTCCCACCAGCCTCACACTTCCTAGAGAAATAGAGAGCAGAGGTTTTGAAACGAAGCTTCTATACTGGCGTTATATTACTTTTTTCCCTATATTAAAATGCTGAGATGAGCGTCACGAACCTCGCGCCACGAGAAGACGTCACAGGTAGCGTCACAAAATTGCGGTTCTTCACATCGATTTACTACTTTTGATCAATTCGTTTCTAGTCATCATATATTAATTCTAAGCAGGTTTAATAACAAACAAGATACAGGCATTAAGTGAGAAGTTAAAAGTAAGAGAATATCTGTCAATAAACTTTTCGATTCAGAACGATTGTCAAAATTTAACAATATTGGATCATCTGTTTAAATTTTTGTGACACTTTCGGTTTAAAATAATTTCCTATAAATACAATTATTTTATATAATAATTAAGTTTACTATCAAATACTATTTATTCATATTGTATTATTAATTTAATATTTCGTCTGAATTTGACAGGTCTGGGAGAAGTGAACATGGTATGCTTTGTTAATACGTCAGCAGGTGGCGTTAGGAGCAAATATAATAATTTATTGAATTATTTTATAATTATTTTATATAATTTTATTTAATATAATTTGTTATAATTGTAATATAAATAATAAAATTACTTTATTCAATTTCTTCTTCGTGCGACTAGGATTACTCCTGTTTGTCTGCCTCTTATTCTGTTTCAGTCGTTGTTGACTGTACATTATCTTTCCACCTTTTTGGCGGCCTTCCAACGGGTCTTCTGCTATACGGCTTGTTGTTTTTACAGATGTTCGCTAATCTATCTGGTCCCATTCGGTTTACATGTTCGTTCCAGTTTTTTTTCTTGTTTTTATCCATCTGTTAATATTTTGAATTTTGCATTGTTCGCGTATACTTCTGTTGGTTTGTCTGTCTCTTAATGATCTGCCCCCTATTGATCTTAATAATTTTATTTCAATATTTGGATGAATTCGAGACATTTTTTGAATTGGGGGGATAGGAAATAGGATCTTGTTGTGGCAAAATAGTTGATATTATATGTTTACTGTTCTATTCTGTTTGGAAGAGAAAATGTTTCAGTTGTGTTAGTTTTTTATGGACCACCTTTCGTTGGCAACACTTTTAGAGCTTCCCAGACGATTTCGATAGTACATTTTTTAGCTGTTTTGATAAGTTTTAGATAGGTTCCTTTGTATTTGGAGTTATATTCAGTGACAAATACGTTGGTAGTAAATTTCTTGATGTACAGTAGGTAACGCATAGTTTTGGCTGATATGCGGATGTCTTTGGTAGTCCAGAGTTTGTGATGTTTTGATTTAGCTGTAATTATAGAAAATGCCTTATTGAAAATACAGACAAACCTATCCAAAAAATCACTGAAATTATAGTCTATTTCCACAGAGGGAAAGTGCCACCCAGAAGTCAATAACAAATTTTAGAATTTACGAAAGTTTTGAGCGGAAAATATCTTACCTAACGTTGGGGTTTCGAGGATGGTTTGTTAAGAGTGTTAAACTTGGTTTATACTATTTTATAATCAGATCATCATTCAATCTTCGCTTATCCACTGCTGGACATAGATCTCTCTCATAATTTTCCACCTATTTCGATATTGTGCCTCTTGCATCCAATTTCTATGACTACGTTTTAGATCGTCAGTCCAACGTGTTGGTGGACGACCCCTGCTTCGGTAGGCATCATCTCTTGGTCTCCATTCCAGTATCCGCTTTGTTTTTCTATTATCTGTCATTCGAGCCACGTGACCTGCCCAGTTCCATTTCAGTGTTGCTACTCTCTCGACTGCATCAGCCACTCCTGTTCTTTGTCGTAGCTGGCGATTTGGGATCTTGTGTCGTAGTGAAACGCCCAACATAGCACGCTCCATCGCCCTTTGACACACACGGATCTTTTAAACTGTTCTCCTTGTCATGGTCAACGTTTCCGCACCGTAAGTCAACACTGGCAAAACACACTGATTAAAGGTGATCAGATAGTCCTGCATTAATAATTGTAAAGCGTACATCAAGGGGTGAGAAATCTGAGACAATATAATTAATTATGGTATTTGTTGTTTTAGTAATTCTTGTAGGAGAATGAACGTACATTGCGAAACCATACGATTTGAATATATTGAATAAAGAAAATTGGGTAGCACAAGCAACAGCGTAATTAATATTCAAGTCACCGCATAAAATGTTTCTGCTTTTATGGGCAGGTCGTCTAACAAATTTAGCAGGTTCTGAAAAAATAGTTTCGTGGAAGAATCAGGTGATCTATAAATGCAAAGAATGTATAGATTATGATTCTTTTTAAAACTCAAAAAATTCTATATTCAACATAAAGTCATATTTTGCTATAGGAGAGAAATCATTATGTGTATAAAGAATTAGGGTGCCACATCTAGCAATCGAGGTATATTTTTCTACAAAAAATATACCTCTTATAATAACTCGTAGAGGATTTTTAAAATAACCGGAGTAAGTTCTAGTTTCTTGTACTTTTTTGGTATTGGATGCTAATGCTAGTTACCCGTTGATAGAGATCTTGATATGATTTGAATTTTGATGTCTTTTTATTTGATATCATTTTTTTTCTTTTTTATCAGCTCCCGGACCTCCCTTTTTGGACATTTTACGTAAACTTTGAGGGTATACAAGGCAACTATCGAACACGGTGATTAATTTAATCTTGCCCAAGTACTTTCGATCAATAGATCATCTTCAGGGGCATTTCGTCAATTGTGGACTATCCGACATAGTAGAATGTCATAGATGTAAAAACTGGACATAACAATACAAAATACACTACACTAAGACAAACAAACACTTTAAAATTTATATGGCGAAGCTACATATTGTGAAGAAGCCGGAGACAGAATCTCAGTATTTCATAATTCACAATATGTAGCTTCGCCATATAAATTTTAAAGTGTTTGTTTGTCTTAGTGTAGTGTATTTTGTATTGTTATGTCCAGTTTTTACATCTATGACATTCTACTATGTCGGATAGTCCACAATTGACGAAATGCCCCTGAAGATGATCTATTGATCGAAAGTACTTGGGCAAGATTAAATTAATCACCGTGTTCGATAGTTGCCTTGTATACCCTCAAAGTTTAATTATTCGAACATTCAACCTTATATTGATTTTACGTAAAACTGTGCTTATTTGTAACAATTTTATCGGGTTGATGTGTATTTTGTATCTATAAAATGGAAATGCTGCTTTTAATTTTTTTACATTTCCATATATATTCATAAATTGATCTACATAGTGGAACATCGCAAAAAAATAATATTCCATTACTGAAATTGTTGGAAACAGGAAGTTTCGCTGTGACACACCTGCGATGATGCCATATTGTTGTATAGATTATTATCATACGAAATGTACACCCGAAACATGCAGCGACGTCATCTGCGTGTATATGTATTTGTGTGCATTCTGCTTTGGCGGAAGAGTAACGCATGACGTAATCCTACATTTTCGCGTTAATGCCCATTTGCTGTATTGAAAATTAATTATTTCTATGTCGCATGATATTTCTGATAAAATAATTAAAAGCGACAACAAAAAGGGGTCATATAATTAATTAATATTCACTTGGACTAGTTAAATGGGAATATTCAATCATCTTGACTTGTAACTACCTAGTTTAGTACATAGTAGAAATCTTAGTAGTAGAAAAACCAGAGCAAATGTAATGAAAGTGCCTACAATTTTAAGAATACTAACTCATATGGAACAATAAATTAACGTCAACTAAAAGTAAACAACTACACTACTCAACAGTTGAAGTGGATAATTTTAAAATTCCTAAAATTAACATATAAAACTATTTTTAAAATAATTGCCTGTACTATACTCTATATGCTATCTTTATTGACAATATTTTTTGCATGTGGTTTTCTTCTTCCTTTTCTTATCGGCCCCCATCTCGTACAAAGAGAGAAATGTTGTTCCAAACATGAATATATCATTCGTATGAAAGTGCTTGTGTTGGCTTTACCAGTTGTCAATAAGTCAAGAAATCTATTTATCACAAAAACAATATGCCGCAAAGCTCGAGTAATTAGTTCGTTGGATCCAACAAGGCATAACTCAACAAGAGGTTACTGTGAGGCTAAATGTGTCGCAAAATATGATAAGTCATGCATGGAATCGGTATGCAGCAACTGGATCTGCAGACTGCAACATACAGGCATGGAGGAGGCAGAGAACGATCTACAACTCGTGCAAGACCGTTTTGTAGTTCTGACGACAAGAAGAAACCCAACATTCATGGTTTCCAGAATTAACAGTATCTTCAGACATGCTACTGAACGAGTGGTTTCCAGTCAAACTGTCAGAAGACGGTTACATGCATCCAATTTAAGGGCTAAATAGACGGCGTGCTACCCATCCACGACTAACTAGGGAGCAGCGTGCATGCAGATATCGCTGGGCGATGGAACACTATTAGTGGAATTTCGAAAATTGGAGGAATTGTCTCTTTACTGGCGAGTCCAGATTTCGTTTGTATACGAATAATGACCGAATATTGGTGTGGAGGGAAAGAGGACAGCATTAC